TGTTCTTGCTGTTCAGGGCGTCAGTTACAGCTGAGTGCCTGATGGACTTACAAACTTTCCCTGCRGATAAGCAGAATTGTTCACTGATCTTCGGAAGCTGTAAGTATTGATGTAGAAGCACACGCTAGCTTGATATATATATGAATTGAATTTTTTTCATAACACACTGTTATTGTTGTAGGTCGAAGTATATAACTTGCTATTAATGTATTCAATGATTGCATGTGAACGTTATTACCCAGGAACCAAAGTTCGAGCCAGTTATCAAGGKCGWGGGCTAAAAGGGGTTTTGAAACTGCTTGGCAGACGAAGTCTTTGAAATATGAAACTTAATTTGTCAAATCAATAGAGTAACAAATTTTTGGAGAGTCGATTGAACTGTTTTTTGGTGTGATTCCAAAACAAATTAAAGTCGCGCACTTATGCAGTCAATCGCATTCTTAGCTTCACAGTCTCGAAACAACCGAATTCCCTCATGGAATCCCTGCACACGTCCCTCATTATAAACAAACAATTAATCAGGAACCGCTCATCTTTATATGAGCAAGATGATTGTCCTGATTTGCATACGACTTTAACTTCGATTTTCTCTTACAAATGATATTTTATCTTGAATTTGTTTGCAAAATATGCTTTAGCTTCTATTGGAATTTGATAAGCAATATAAAATATTGTAATTCGCGTCCCGACCTTTATGGGCTCGCTTCCAGCTYGCAGTTTTATATGCCCATAAAGGTCTTCCGCTCATATTTTATATATTACAAAAAATCTCAGTGATTATGAATTAGTTAAGAAATCTTTGACTATTTTATTTACAGACAGCTATTCCACAGCTGATGTCGTCTATAAGTGGAAGGAAGGGGACGCAGTAACAGTCGGAATAAAGACCTTACCGCAATTCCAGTTGACAACSGTYACCACAGACGATGAAATCATGTCCTTCACCATAGGCAAGTGGCACGTAAAACATGTTTATAAAAGTTGTTCCTTGTAAATCGTTTTTTTTTTCTTCGTCAAATCGATCTCTTGTTTAATCAACTATTACTTATTCATAGTAAAAATATCGAGCTATTCGACAAAACCAATTCATTTCTGAGAAGATTTACGAATCGCATTCGAGATATCATCGAAGATCACACCAACGGGAGTTCTAAGAATTCAGAAATTTGTGTCATATTTACCAAAAAATGTTMCATCACACCATTACTCGTTAATAAGGTTATCTTATTCATCATAAATAAACATTGTTATATACTCATCATAAAACTTGCTTGCTCAGGGACTGCGCAATATTCACCAGTAGGTGTTGGTGGAGGAGGGTTTCTGTGGAGGGTTAGAAATGAGCCAAAAAATCAAAAAACAATAACTTCTACCCCCTCCTCTTGCAAACTAATTAAATTGCACTCTGCCCTCCCCCTGAATTCATGCATTTATTATTCGTGAATAAAAAGAGTTTTCGCAAATCGTGGCAGCGCTAGCCGCACGTTTTTTTGAGAAATTTTCCACTTCAATCAATAAGTATTTGGCCAAAAAGCACACATTATGACACCGTTGATTTTTCAGTTTTCAATGAAAGTTCTGGTTAATTATTTTTGACGTTGCCCGACTTCTTTAAGCACATAAAATTAGATTTTGCTTCTCCCCCTCTTCGGGATTCTCAACCCCCCTCCTGATAAATATTTAGCAGTCCCGCCCTTAGCTTTGCTGATGTAACCTTTTATGGAACCTGATTACGATGTTTGATTAGATTTAAAAAAGTGACTGCCTTCTCACTTCTAAAAGTGCGCAATTAAATTTCAGGTAATTACTCCACGATTTCTGTTGAATTTACCTTCCAACGTCGTCTTGGATACTTCCTCATTCAAATCTACGCACCTGATATCTTCATTGTCATGCTAAGTTGGATCGTATTCTGGATGGATTCACGTGATATTGGCAATCGTATGGCRTTGGGTATCACGACAATCCTGACCATCATGTTTCTGATGGGATCCATCAATGAGTCCATGCCTAAAGTCAGCTACCCCAAGGCTCTKGATTGGTACCTGATCGTATCGTTTGTGTTCATATTTTGTTCTTTAGTGGAATGCATGATCGTTTTCAAGTTAAGTGATACACCATTAGGTAAAGACATGCCTGCAGGAAGTGAATTGGAGTATGCAGACAAACAGAACGAAAACAAATTCGTTGGATACTGGATTGACTTCGTTTCTCGGATTCTTTTTCCGCTGTTGTTTATAACCTATAACGTTTACTACTGGTTAATTTATATTGTACTTTAGAAATGTTCTCAAGTCGGCTAAGGACCGGTTCACACTGTGACATAAGCAGAAGCAGAAGAATTGTATTTTGTATGTGTGAACCGGGTAAAACAGAAGYAGAGACAGAAGCAGATGAAAATGAAAASTTTTTCATTTTCTTCTGCTTGTGTTTCTGCTTATGTTGAAAGATTATGAGTGTGAACCGGGATATCATAAGCAGAAGAATATGCTTCTGTCAAKTGTGAACAAGCTTATGCTTCGGATTCTGCTTATGTCGTAGTGTGAAGCGGTCCTTAGCAAGTACGTCAACTCAAGTGCGGACTGAATAGCATTCTTCACAATTCCCTTCGCCATCTTGAAAGGTAGCCGTGCCTTTGCATTGAAGTGAGAACAGTTGAGCGTGCAATGATAGAAACCTTCTTTCGAAYCTACAGATAATTATTCAGGTGTATCTATCATTGTACCCTAACGTTCATCTCTAACTTCGATGGAACCGTGAAGGAGACTATTGTCTGTACATGTTACACAAGTGACCAGTTCGCATCGCGTGCCTGTACTTTTGCAATAAATTTTTTTTTCATATATTTTTGTATTCACAAATCACAGATCCATCTTATAAGATAATAATAATAAAGAAGAAGCTGCTGTAAGCAGCTGTAAAAAAAAGAAGAAGCTGCTGTAAGTCGTGTACTGATTTTTTCTAAGTTTTTTTTTATAGGCCCAGTGTGCACCATTATGCTTTGGGGGTCACGAGAGCCAGGAGGCGGCCATTTTCAGTTTACTGAAAGTCTATAAATTGTACTGTGTATTTCGAACCTTTGACCATCTCATTTTTCTAAGCACTTAAAACACTAATATTAGAGTTTTCAACCATCTGACATTCGTTTTATGGTGATATTTGAATACTAGAAGTATTTTGGTGTAAATAATAAAAATAACAGAGGCGCGCAAAGCATAATGGTGCAAACTGGGCCTTAAGGACCACTTTCACACCACTTTAATGTACTTCCATCCGCATTATCAATACCGAACATGGATTTGACTGCCTTTGACTCACTTCTTAGTTGCGCAATTCAATTTCAGGGAATTTCTCTACTATTTCTACTTTCAGGAAATTTCTCTATTACAAAGTTTCTACTTATTTTTACGTTGAAAGTAAAGTTTACATTAAGCGTCGCCTCAAATTTGAATAAGTTCAGATATTTTGTTTGGGTTTCCTGTGATCTGAACCACAAGTCTTTGCGCCCGCCAATTATCGAATTAGTGACGTCATAATCAATTARCGTTCGTCATCAGTTGTATTTCATCTCGTTGTACARCACGAAGGGCTTCTTTGAAGCTCTTAAAAAAGTGACTAAAATGTCAGTTAGAAAARTATTTACAGTTAGTTTTATCGTCGCGATGATAATTCTTATCAATATTCCTGGTTCAGGTGACAATCTTCAAATGAAACCACAGGGTAAGTGTTTGTTTAGCTGACTGTCAGTAGCAATGTCACATGTTTCCGCGGAACCTTCAAGGACACAGACAAAACATAACGAATAATAATATAAGTATTATTAGAAATGCAAAATGACTTCATTGGCAAAAGCTGAGCACATTTAGTCGCAATGAAGGAACGTTTCTCAAATTCCTCTCAAAGTCGATGCTAAAAACATTTGAAAAAAGTTGTAATTGAGAAATTTAGTTTGTCTCGATGGAACCGGGACTTGGGCAACTCGGTTTAGAAAATAAATAACACAAATTTGTCATCAAATTTTACATTTGCATTACATTTACAACAGGATTTTTTTRCAAGTGGAATTTTTTTCCGGTTGTTATAACAACATCCATTGTGATGTTCAAGCTTGCAAGCGCGCAGTGTTTTTGCACGCTCAGCAAGCTTGTATTTGCGCGCTAAGTAAGCTGAACGAGCGCTTACATTCAATGACGCACCGCGCGCACTCGTACAAAAACCTTTTACAAATTGCCTATGGTTTTACGTTGTATGTCATCTTATTGACAAACTCTTGACTTCGTAAAATGTTCAAATGTTAAGTGGCCTCACTGCAAAGTTTTAAACATGTTATGACGTCAAGTGTGTGTCAAAAGAAGAGATGCAACGAAAAACTATGCGCAATTTGTTTTTAATTTTTACCACGGTTATTGATACTGATTAAACTCTGACTCAAGTGCCAAATATTTAATTCAACAGGAAACTCTGCTAAAACAAGTGACTATCAAGTACCAATAAATGGCAGCCATTTCTTTAGYAACTACATCCTGCGTCCTGTTGAATTGACCGTCAAGACAGTTTCTGCGCTGACTTCGATTCCTCAACAACGAGTCGTTTGTTTGACCCTCG